CGTCTGTCACAACTCTTACTACAACTGCTACTACTACGTTTACGACTACGACTACGCCTGCTAATACTAATACTACTACAAAAACTACTACTACTACTACTACTACTACTACTACTACGGCTACGCCGACTACTACTACTACTACTGCTACTACTACTACTCCTACTACGACTACTACTACAAGATCGACTACTACGACTTCTTCTACTACTGCTACTACAACTACGGCTCCTACTACGACTACTACTACTACTACTACTACTACTACGACTGCTCTCACCAATACTACTTCTACTTCTACTACTACTACTACTACTACCACTACTACTACAGCTGCTAATACTATTACTACGTCTACTACTGGTCATACGACCGATACTTCTACTACTCCAACTACTACTCCTGATACTACTACTATTACTACTACTACTACCACTACAACTACTACTACTACTACTACTACTACTACTACTAATGCTACTACAGCGGATACTACAACTACTAGCACCTCCACTACCACTACTCCTGCTCCGCCTACTACTACTACTACTACTACTACTACGTCTACTACAACTACGGTCACTGCTACTACTACTACTACTACTACTACTACTACGACTACTCTTACTACCACTACTACTACTACTACTACTACTACTACTATTACCACTACTGCTACTATTGCTACTACTACGGCTACTACTACTACTACTACGACCACTACTACTACTACTACTTCTGCGACTACCACTACTACTACTACTACTACTACTACTACTATTACTACTACGACTACTACTACTACTTATACTACTCGCACAACTAGTTCTATTACTACCATTACTACTACGACGTTTACTACGGCCCATATTACTACTACGACTACTACTACTACTACTACTACTACTACTACAGATACAACTATGACGACTCCAGCGACTACTATTACTACTACCAAGACGATTACAAATACTACTACCAAGACGAATACGAATCGTAGTAGTAGTACTACAACTACTACGAAAACGACCAGAACCACTGCGACCACGACGACGACTACTACTACTGTTACTACTACTACTACTACTACTACTACTACTACTACTACCAGTATCCCTTCGACTACTCACTGCATGCTACGATGTACTTCTACTACGTCTTCTCCCACTACTACTCCACTACTACGACTAAAACTACTACTACGGCTACCACTACTACTACCACTACTACTACAAGTACGACTACTACTACTACTGCTACAGCTACTAATGCTACGCTTACAACTACTGCTACTACTACTACTCCTACTACTACTACTACTACTACTACTACTACGACTACTACTAGTACTACTGCTACTACTACTACCACACTATTTCTACGACTGCTACTACTGCTACTACTACTACCCCAAGGCTACTACTACTACTGTACTACCACCACCACTACAATTACTACTACCACTACTACGACTATTACGACCACTACTGTTACAGCGTCTACTACTGCTACCACTACTACTACTACTACTACTACTACTACCACTTCTCCGACTACTAATACAAATAATACAACTACGACTACGACTACGACTACGACTACGACTACGACTACGACTACAACTACTACTACCACTACGACTACGACTGCTACGACGACTATGACTATGACTACGACTACGGCTAGGACTAAGACGACGACGTCACGACTACTACGACGACTACTACTACTACTACTACTACTACTACTACTGCTACTACTTCTACTATGGCGACTACTACTACTACTACTACTACTACTACGACTACTACTACTACTACTACGACTACTGCTATTACTACTACTACTACTACTACTAATACTACTACTACTACTACTACTACTACTACTACTACTACTACTACTACTACTACTACTACTACCACTACTACTGCTCGTACTACTAGTACCACTATTACTACTACAATTACTACTACCACTACTACTACTACTACTACTACTACTACTACTACTACTACTACTACTACTACTACTACTACTACTACTACTACTACTACTACTACTACTACAGTACTACAAGTACTACAGTACTACCAGTAATACTACTACTACTACTACCACTACTACTACTACTACTACTACTACTACTACTACTACTACTACTACGACTACTACCACTACTACTACTACTACTACTCCTACTACTACTACTACTACTACTACGACTACTACTACTACTACTACTACTGCTACTACTACTACTACTACGACTACTACTACGACTACTACTACTACTACTACTACTACTACTACTACTACTGCGACCACCCCTTTCACCATCCTCCTCCTGCTCTTACTCCTTATATTTTCCTCATACTCCCCGACCCCGTGTCTGTCCTCGTCGTCGTCGTCCTCCTCCTCCTCGTTCATCTCGTCATTCCGCCCCCTCCTTTGCCTCGCCCTCGCCCACGTCAGGCCTCGGATTCTCCCCTCCGGCCGCCGCGAAACCCGCGCCTCGCCTCTCACGGGGACGCGCTCGCGCAGCTCGCGCAGCGTGGAACGCGGCGTCTGGTTCAGGATCCCCGTCTGCGGGCCTGACGCGGAACCGTCGCGGGACTGTATCGAACCAAATCGTATTGATGATCATTCTGGCGATGGTGTATTAATTGCACTCGTATGCGATGGAGTGGGGGGGGCGGCCACCAATCCTGCCATTTCCTGTTACTGCACGCCGTCGTGCAACAAGGAACTGGGCATCTAACGGGTTGGAAAAGGGAGGGGGCAGTTCTTAATTTTTATTTAAAGCGCTGGGGATGTCTCGCCCGTTTGCCGGCTTCCGCCCGTGACCCGACCGGAACAATCTGAGAGCGGCACCCCGGAGAGTGGACGTTAAGCGGACGAAAGCGTGATATCGAGTTACTCCGCACAAAGAGAGCTTAAACAGCAGAGGCGCATGAGAATACACATGGCGAGTCGATGCTGAACTGGCCGTGCTTGGTGTGGGTATGGCACGGCACGGCGAGCCACCTTTCTCACACCTGGAACACAGGCACGGCACGGCTGTCGCACTGCAACACCTAGCCGCGGCACGGCGCGGCACACCTAACCAATGGCACGGCGCGGCGCGGCAAGCGGGCACGCCGCGCGGCACCGCACGGCACGCTTCTACGCACTCTAGCGCCCATTCACGGCACGGTGCGGCAAGCGGGCACGACACAGCCCAGCACGACGGGCACGACACCGCCGGGCACGGTGCGGCAAGCGGGCACGACAGCGGCACACTTGAATCACTTACGCAATGCAGCCCCCTTACAACATACGCTGATTCCCGGCGGGGGCGGGTGCAATCCCGTGCCCTCCGCTGACTGACAGAACTGAACTGCACTGACTAAACTGGAAGGGCACTCTTGACAACATTGCAAACCACTCGCGGGAGCAACCACAACCACAACCAGGCGACACATGTCCACCCGCCCGCGGGAGCAACCGCAACCAGGAGACACATTTCAACCCGCCCAAAGGCGCAATTGCAATCGCAATGGCAACCAAATGACACAGTTCAACCCGCCCGCGGGCGCGCACCCGCAACCGCAACCAACCAACACACTACAACCCACCCACGGGTGCAACCGCAACCGCAACCGCTACAAAACGATGAACTTAAACCTGCCCGCAGGCGCAATCGCAACCGTGTCCAGGCGACGCATTTCCACCCGCCTGCGGGCGCACCCGCAACAGGCAACCAAGCGACACATTCCCACCCTTCCGAGGGCGAAACCACAACCGCAACCAAACGACACATTTCAACCCGCCCGCGTGCAGCCCGCAACCTCAACCAGACGACACATTTCCACCGCCCGCGGGCGCAACCGCAACCGCAACAACACGAGGCCGAATAACCGAGCAGCCCAATTACGCAACACATGAAGAGAAAATCAAATTTTTCTGCGTTTCGAAAGCCGCTCGGGGGTGATATATTGGGGCCGTATTCAGGCGCCTGGCGGGGGTCAGGGGACGCTGGAGGCCATCTTGGACCGTCTTGGGGTCTCTTGCCGCCGACCCGTTTGCATGGCTTGGAAGGAGCTTCCGAAGGCCCGGAAAGCTCGCGGGACCCGGGGGCGTCAAAGAGCCCGGGACGCCGTGGATCCCGTTTCGGGGGGGGGTCTGCCGCCCCCCCGATCAATAGAATAGATGAAAGGGAATGTACACATATCTACGCACCAATATTTCCCACACAGTGCTTGCACTGAGGGTTCTTTTACTCCTTCCCTGACGAACTGGGGCTGCCGGTCGGTCTGGTGGCTATGCAGTCGTCATTGCCGCCCCGTCGCCACATCGTCGCCGCCCGTCGTCTGGGCCTGACGGTCGGTCTGGCAGCTATGCAGTCGACGCCGACGCCTCGTCGCCGCATCGTCGCCGCCCGTCGTCTGGGCCTGACGGTCGGTCTGGCGGCTATGTACAGCCGGACCTAGGACATAAGGACATCCTTCAAGAGCATGAGATCCTCCGTCGGCCATAGCACAGAGCATCCAAGGGTATTCTCCACAAGATGCACAACAACATCCAACAAACACGAAGAGCATTAAGGCACCCTCCCCTAACCTACCTCGATCTAATATGTCGATCCGACTGTAGTCGGCGCCGCCGCCCCGTCGCCGCTACGTCGCCGCCCGTCGTCTGGGCCTGTCTGTCGGTTTGGCGGCAGAGTTGTCGCCGTCGACGCCCCGTCGCCGCCTCGTCGCGGCTGAGCATAATTGCACCACACAGACTGCACCACATGAGTTGACCACTAAGATTGTACAACATAGATTGCCCACATTGGTTGCCCTTCAGAGATTGCACTGCGTTGATCGCAACAAATACTTTGCACCATCAGATGATTGCACCAAATAGATTGCAACACATAGTTAGTTACACCTGTACTGCACAACACAGGTTTCACCGCGCATAAGGCACAACATAGTCTGCATACCATGTAACGATTGCACCATGCATGTTGCACCGCATTGGATGCACCACGTAGGAGTGCACCACGTATACTGGTACACCTAGTCTGCACAACATCGATCGCACCACATAGATTGCACCAGGTATGTAGCACAACAAATGTTGCATCACATAGTGTACAAGGACAGAAACGCACTGTGTTTGACTCACGCTGGCTCACATGTAGAGCGAGAGAAGGAGAAAGAGCGAGAGGGAGAGAGGGAGAGAGAGAGAGGGAGAGAGACAAACAGACGTGGAGAGAGGAAGACGGCTACCGCGTTCCGCGCGCCGCCGCCTGTGGGCAGCACGAAGGAGGTCTGGTGGTACCTGCGAAAGGGTGCGCCGCAGCATGATGCGAATGGGCACACGCACGATAGCGGGAGGAGCGATGACAGGGGAAGAAGCGGAGTTGAGGGGCGAGGGAGGACGAGGCCGAGGGCGAGGGCGAGACGGGGGAAGGCAACGGGGGCGGGCCCTCTCAGAAGGCTCCGAGGGTCGCTGGCTCTTTGAAGAATTCCCTGGACCTTCTCCGGAGGCCTGCCCACTCCAACTTTCCCCCTTCGGCGCGCCACACATGGGAGGAGGGAGAAGGAAATGAGGACGCGGCGGCGAAGCAAGTTGATGACGAGGATAAACAGGAGAGGAGCAGGAAGAGGAGCAAGGCGGAGGCGGAGGAAGAAGGTTGATGAGGACGGAAGTTGACCGATGGATCCATAGTCACTCAGGCCAGAAGTCCATTATGTGGGCGCTTCGCTTGGTTCGTCTCGGCATGACTTGGTTCATCTGCGGCGCCAATTTACCCGTAGAGGCAATAACGCCAATCCGAGTGGCTCGCGATTTGCATGGCTGGCATCGGCCGCTGCGTGGTCGCTGTGAGGCCGTACGCTGTGAACTCGCACCAGAAGAGGGGATTCGGCAGACAAGCGTGCCTGAATGGGGCCCTGGGACACACAAACAAATGCACACCAATCAAAAGATTCCCCATAGTTTCCTATAGCTCCTGGGTGTTTGTCTTCCCCCCCACTTCCCATATGTTCCCATATTTCCCAGGCGATTTGGGCTTCGACGGCAGCCGCCCCGGGTCCCGCCCCGACCCCACTGAGGAGTCATGATGCTATCTTTTGACACCACTAGAAACCTATCAGTCTTCGCTGTTAGGTAAATATTCCCCATATTTTCCTATAGTTCCTGGGTTTTTGCCTTCCCCCCCACTTCCCATATGTTCCCATATTTCCCTCGGGATCGACGATTCCTTGTGTCTGTGTGTGTTTTCCCCCTCCCGAGTGCCGCAGGGCCGTCCTCGCCCTCTCCGTCGAGGAAGCCACCGCTGCCCCCGCGGCGACGGCAGTGGCCAACAGGGACAGCTTCGCTGCCGCTCCGGGCGGCGGAGGAGGAGGAGGAGGAGGAGGGAGGAGGAGGAGGAGGAGGGAGGAAGAGGAGGAGGAGGAGGAGGGAGGAAGAGGAGGAGGAGGAGGACGAGGAGGAGGGAGAGGAGGGGAGGAGGAGAGGAGGAGGGAGGAAGAGGAGGAGGAGGGAGGAAGAGGAGGAGGAGGAGGAGGAGGAGGAGAAAGAGGAGGAGGAGGGAGGGAGGAAGCGTTGCGAATGCCATGCCAACTGCCCGCGACCCACCTGCGCGCCCATCGAGAAGCAGCCGCGAGAAATCGCACCGCAGGTGAGCGGGAGAGCGACCCTGGACGCCATCACCACACACCCAGAGACGAAAGAATGCGGAGCCGTGCTTGCCTGCGTCATCCTCACGACTGGTTACCTAGTCGATGCATGGCGTCCCCGCGCAACCGATCAGTCGCGCCGAATGGCATCATGGTTCCTCTGCCTGTGGGGCGCTATCCCTCAGTTCGACGGACCCCCGGGGAGGGGCAACAACGAGGGATGAGGGGGGACCACGGGCAGGAGGGCGTCGAAAAAACGTCCCGGGAAGTCTTGAGGCCCTCTCGGGATACATTGGGCCCATTTGGCGCGACGAGGAGGACAAACACGTGGAGGGAGGACAGAGGTGAGAATGAGGACGATGACGAGGATGGCAATAAGAAGACGAGGGCAAGCTGGCTAGTCTAAGGTCCTATATCATATGTCAAGGTGTCGTGTACGGTTTAATACAAAAGCTTGATCGAGGGAACCGAGCCCGGACCAAATTCTGGTCCGAATCCGGACCAGGTCCGCATCTGAGGATTCCTCATGGATTCCTGGATTCTCGGCCCCGTCCTTCTTGCAGGACAGACACTGGTTTTCAATTTCGCACGCAGGTTTTTGTTGTGGTTTTCTTATATGGAAAAAATCGTGGCTCAGAGCATGATTCCTGGGAGCCGCTCGCCGCGGGGACCCACCCTCCCCGTGGCCCCAGCGCGGGGATGGCGACCTTTGACTCCTGGGTGCCGCGCACGCCACGGGGACCCACCCTCCCCGTGGCCCCAGCGCGGGGATGGCGACCTTTGGCTCCTCCTTGATTCCTGGTCCACACATTGTACTGTCAAGAGCGGACAAACTGCCTGGACCTGTGCGCACACAATCTGCGGACATGGGGTGGGCCCACAGGACAATCTGCGGACACGCATGTTGCCCGCAGATGGTCCTGCGGGCAACATGCGTGTCCGTTGCACGCGTGTCGTCCGTTGCACTCGTGCGAAATCCACATATCGGGTGTGGGACATCTTTATTGCCCGCGCCAAAACCACAGATCGACCGGGGCAATCTTGTCTGCGCGCGCCGAATCCACACATTTAATTTCTTGATACACCAGTTCAGTTTTCTTGGGCCCCCCAGCCAATGCCACCTGGGAGGCCCCCAGGCTCCAAGGTGGTCACGGCCATCTCTGAGCCTCGAAATGCGAGGATGTCTCAGACGAAACGGGCCAGATCATTTCAAGTCAGGGCATATTGGCCCTAGAAATGCGTGGAACTCTCAATCCAAACGGGCTGGACCACCTCGGGACAGGGCACATCAGAGCCCAGAATAATGTCTCAAGCGAAACCGGCTGGCCACCTCGCGAACGGCACCTCCTCCTGCTGCTACACCTCCTCCGCCTCCTGATCCTCCGCCTGCTGCTGCTGCTGCTGCAGCTGTTCCTCATCCTTCTCCTCGCGACTCCCAGGGAGAAAGGAGAGGAGAGGAGGAGAGTGAGGGTCCGAGGGAACCGCGATATGGACGCTGCTGAGAAAAATCGACGAAGATGTTGCCCACGCGCCAATCTGCAACAGATTCGTGCGAACCGCAGGTAAGTCGAACGTGTTCGTTCGTTGACCGCGCGCCTCGGTTGATCCAGATGCGCCGCGTCGGAAACGCGCGCTGCGCAATCAGCTCTGTCATCCGTTGATTGCAGCGAAGTCCAGGGATGAATTTTGGCGCAGGCTTGCCATTGCACTCCAGAGGAACTGGATGAAGCCAGCCCTGCGTCGCTGTAGCGTGTGATTGCGGTCGACTTCACAAGAACACGGTTTTGTTGCATTAGGTTTGCCAGGCGGGCGCGTCGCCACTTGCCGAACCGCTTGGCCCTCCAGCTTCTCCGTGGGACCAGATTCCCACATTGGGTCCCACATTACATGAATATGCGGACTATGGCGGCTGGATATACAAAACCCTACAGGCAGCATGGCGAACGTACCCAAACAACAATCCAAAATTCGAGCATGAACGTCACCTTAGTGGACTGCCGTTGCAAGTGTCAGGCCGGCACAACGGTGCAGGGCCTGCCATGTCACAGGAGATCGGGGTGACCCTCAGCCATGGCGGTCCGTGGAGCAGGCGGAAAATCTACAGAGAAGACGACGACAAGAAAACGGGTGTGACTGTTGTCACAAAGGGCACTGCGAGCGATTCGTTTGTTCCGCGAGGCCTTCGCTTTGGGAAGACGAGGGCAAATCTGAGGGAGGTGCGGAATGCAATAGGGGACACCACAAAGCACTTCCTGGGCGCGCGCAACATCTCTGCATGAATCGGTGTTGCATGCGGAGCCTTTGTTAAGCTGCAACTGACAGCGCCTGGGCGACGCGCGCGCAATGCGGTTCGCTCTTGCGCGCAGGCGTATAGTGGCGACTAAATCACACAGGCATGTCATAATGCGAAATCTGTTCAAGAAGCTTGCATCCGCACGCGGGAGCGCGGCATTTCGCGCGGCGGCGCTGGAGGGGGTCGGCTTCGCAGGGAGGAAGCATTGCCAGAGGTTATCAATGACTGCCCTGGGCCGATATACCGGACATTTCTGCATATCACGTTTTCTCACTCGGTACCCACGGGATCGGGATCGGATGTCAATGCGCCGACACCTCTTTGGTGCTGACAAGAAAACGCCTGAGGCGCCAACAGGACGTCAGCAGCTTGCGGGACGCTGGTGGAGCCTCCCATCGGGTCCCCTCCTGGGCCTCGCTCCGAGCCTCCCCGACAGCCCTCAGAACCAACCCAGGCCTACCCTTAAGTCGGGCGTGTCCCCCTACAGTCGGATTTTGGACGAAACATAAAAAATGCCAAAAACGTAATGAACAAATGATCAATAATGATACCAAAAAAAAACGTCCCCTGACAAAGTTTCAACTATTTTGAAGATTCCTCCTGTAGAGGAACGAGCCCGACTGAAGCCTACCTGCGCCGTTGAAGAGAAATCACGACGAAAACGTTCGGAAGATCTGCGGTCTGATAGGGGCCCTCGCCCTTCTCCGAGACCTTCAAACAATGACTCGGGATGAAGAGCCGATCCCGCCAACCCGGAGAAGAGGTCTAAGCCTCCCGGGGGTCACGTCGTCGGAGGTCAGTGGAGAGACGAGGGGTGGTGGGCATCATTGCTTGAGGCAATGGCGCGAACGAGGGGGGCCAGGGGGGGTGTTGGGGTGTTGAAAGAAGGAGAGTGCAAGATTTCGTGGCCTGGCCCGACTAGGCCTGCACCCCTGGTCCTCACCCCCTCTTCGACGCCTGGTGGCCTTCGGCCAAACACTCCGCCTCAGGACCTCTGGACCTCCGGTGGCCACTCGGGACAAGCCGGGCACCCCAGGACAGTCCTCGACGAGGCGACGAGGCGCAGCTGCTGGAAAGCATCCCGAAGCGAGAAACCCTCCAAGAGCCACACCCCAGTCTCGGACGCCCCCAACGCCTGGAGCTCTCACAAACCCCCTCCTCGGGACCAGAGGGAAAGCCCCGCCCAGACGCGCTGCTGCAGGAGGCGGACGAAGAGGTGGAGGAGAACGAGAAGGAGGAGGAGGAGGAGGAGGAGGAGGACGAGGAGAAGGAGGAGGCCGAGGTTCCCCAAGAAGGCTCCGTTCGCAGTCATCGTCCTCCGCCTCACGTACCCCAGTTTCGAGTTGGGGCCTGGGGTTTCGGAGGGTCTCCAGTGAGCTCGGCCTCTCAAGGAGTGGCGAAGTCGGACGACCGCAATCGCTCGTTCGGCCGCCGACTCGACCGCCTCCGTCAGCATGTATTAGGAGAGAGTGGTCAGCACACTCTCATACAAATGTCAGCTCCTTCCGCTCCCCCGTCAAGAGGTCGCGGACGAGCCACATGTGCGCACCCGCCTCCTCCGTGGCCCGAGCTCGTGGCTCCTCCTCTCTGCTTGGATGGATTTGAAGGCTCTCCGAGGCCCTCCCATCCCTCCGATCCGAGCGATGGCGCTGGCGGCGCGGATGCGTGCTGCTCGGGAGACTGTCGACGTGTGGCCGCAGATGTGCACGCGCCTTCTCGCGGAGGCCGAGGAACGCATGGCAATAATTCATTTTGTCGCGCGCAAGGGGGGGGAGAAGCCCATGGCCGACGTTCTGGAATGAACCCGTCTTCGTTCGCATGGCCGCTCCAGCTGGCGGCGGAGGCCTCACCTCTCCTGGGCCCCAGGGAGGGTCCGGATGCCCGCAGCGGGCTGGAGCTCTTTAGAAGCGAGAGAACGGCGGCGTTCTCGACTGACCCCCCGCACCCTCGCATCGAGACCCAGAAGACCCTCCGGCGCGGTATCACACCTGTGTTGTGTCTCTCAGAGGGCGCCCTCCTCCACGTCGTCCAGGAACGGCTCGGCCACTGGTTTAACCCGGGGGAGGAAATGCTGCAGCGCGTGGACTGGGAGGGGGTTTGGGAGACGCTCAGCGCTCCCCCCCCCCTCGTGGAGGATGGCGGCCAGTCGCACCTGGACGGGCGGGTGGGTGTGCGACACCCGACTTTGCAACCCCGACCCCCGATGCATCATGGGCCATCTTGGACGCCCGAAATGGGTACATAAAAAATTGGTACAATGCCCAACAACAAATTTTTCCCAAACCAACAGCGGCCGCTGTTGGGCAGGCGGCCTTCTGTCTCGAATTGACACAGGCAGGCGGCGCGGACAGCGAGTCCTGTTCAAAATGAACAAGAACTGCTGTTGGGCATTGCACCCATTCTTTCCGTACCCATTCCGTTCGTGGCGAAGGCTGTGATGCCCCAGACGCTCTCGCTCACTACGCGAGGTGCCCTGGACTCCTCTCCCAGGCTCTGGCCGGTGGCGCTCCGGTGCCGTCGTCGATGCTCCAGCGATGGGCCCTCTGCCCCTGCTCCCTCCTGCAGCTTCGGCTTGTCACGATCTCTGCCCACCTGCATCGCCGCCTCCACTATCAACGGAGAGGCCTTGGAGGATGGGTGCCCTCGGACTCCGAGGCGGCGGACTCTGCACGAGCTGCTCGTCTTGCAGCTGACCTCCCGCACAGTGCGGGGACGAGGAGGAGGAGGAGGAGGAGGAGGAGGGAAGGCAGCAGAAGGAGGGGGAGGAGGAGAAGGAGGCGGAAGAAGATGCTGCGGCACCGCATCATCTTCTCTTCGTCCCTGCCCTGGGGGAAGGGCTGCGCCAACGTGGCACCGGAGCCCCCATCCTGGAAGGAAGAGGAAGAGGACGACCCTCTCGACCATCCTGGAAGGGAGAGGACGAGGACGACCCTCTCGAATTCTGCCCTGCCTCCCTCCTGCCCTCCCCCCCCTCGGCCGAGGGCCTGCCGAGGGTGCCCCACTCGAGGAGGGGCTCGCCAGAGGGCAGCATGGCCTCCCGCCGACGCGGCGCGCCTGAGCCAGAAGGGCCGACGGGGGCGCGGGAGGGGGTCCTGCAATGACTGGGGCGCAGGAGAATCGGGGAGACGTAAGACCAGGGTACGGGGGACTCGGAAATCCCCGACGAGGTCGTCAAAAAAATGACGAGGCCGAGCCTGCATTTTGACGAGGCCTCCCGCTGCAGACATCCCACGAACCTCCTCCTCGTCAAAATCCGAGGCGCGGTCGTCAAAAAACGATGGCGAACCCGAGTCCCGGCAAACCCAGGTCTTACGCTCCCCCGACAGAAGCGCAACGGTGTCCGCCGAGGGGCGGGGCTTACCAAGGCCAGCGCGGGTGGGCCGGATCCCTCAGGGATTGCCGTCGTCGAGATCGGCGTGCGGAGGTCACGGGAGCGAGAGCGTATGCGGGAGGTGCCCGTGATTCATCGTCAGTGTCAGAAGAGTTTGGTCGCACTGTTTCGTCAATGTGCATGTCGCACAGTTGCTTTCAAGCTGGACCTGGATAGTCATGGACTGGGGGGGAAACATCATCTGGGCAGCTGCCGTCTCCTCCACTGGCTCACTGCTTTGACTGGTGAGAGGTATGACTTTCTGTGCCAGCGCAGGCCTGGAAGGAGGAGACGGAGCGGGAGACGGAGCGGACAGCACCACAAGATAGCACCAGCGTGAAGCAGTCCTGAGAGCACTGTCAGTACTGGTATACTGTGACGCCCCAACGAAATCGAAATGCTCCTTGATGGAGAAAGGTATGAGCTGATAAGTAATGTTGGTGGCTTTAGCGTGCAATCGCGCAAGCTTGCGGGACTACTAGCCCAAGGGGGGGGGCCTCTAGGGCCTGCGTCTGCACGAGGGCGCACGGTCCTAGACGGGTGCTCGCAAACGGGGGGGAAGAGATGGGGGAGGGAGCGAAGAGCACGAAGAGGAGGAAAAAGCAGAGGCCGTCGCAAGATGCCGTCAGCAACCGCTCCGAGCCGTCACTGCCAGCTCCGAGTCTCGCGCTGCACCGCCCTCAGGGCGGAAGCAATCAGCCCGGCGACAGCCTGGGCGGAAGACGAAGAATAGGAGCGACAGTCACGCCAACCGGCTTGAACGAGCCAGCGGGCCCTGGCCACTGCCATGCGCACTCCCGCGGTACAAGTACCAGTGCTGGCACGGCTGGACTTTGGAACTCGCGCGTGCGAACGGGAACCCAACGAGCGAACGGGAAGCGCTGGCGCGCGCGCGGCCCCACTCCTGACGAACTTGGAAAAGAAAGACAAGCGCCGCGCCCAAACGGTATCGCACAATTGCGGGCAACCTGGGGGTTTGACCGAACTCTACCATGCATTTGTTGGCGCGGGGCCCGGATCACCAATCGACAAAACCTGCGCGCCGCCCAGGGGGCAGCGAGTTTTCGCTCTCTTGCGCGCGCAAGGAATAGCGGCACCACCACCACCTGCGTGAAACGCCACGGAAGACTCTCCTGGTGGTTTGGTCCCCCCACTCGCTCGAAACATCACAGCACCTATCTCCGGTTCGGGGAGGCATCGTGCTCCTCTTCGCCGGAGGTGGCACCCGCGGTGGTGGTGGCGTCGCTGCTCTTTCCTCCGCTATTTAGCCGGCAAACGCACTGCGCCTCGCCCTCTGCGAGATCGGAACGGCGCTGGGGCGAGAGCAATACGTCTCGACATGTCGCATGCTGTGTGAGCCGTGTCCCGATCATGCCACACGTTTTGCATCGCTGGGTATTTAAAAAAAACATGCTGAAATGATGGAAATCGCCGACACCGATCTCGCATTTAAAAAATTGGTTGAATTGAAGGAAGGGCCCGCGACCACCATTTGTTGAACTCGCCATGACACGAACCTCTTCGCACTTCCGCATAAGACTGAGGTATATAGTTCTAGTTTGTTCGGTCGCTGGATTTCCTCGTCGTTGGTGTACACACACATACATACACACATACATTCATACATTCATACAGACATTCAGACACACAATCATACATACACACATGAATGTATACACGCACGTATAGGTTTGTACATATCCGCCGGCCCCCTTGTGGGGCCACCAGGCTGCGAGGCGCGGGCTCGCAGTTTCCAGTATCAGTTGTAGCTTGTAGTTTCCAGTGTTACAGATCTGCTTCTTGCTGGTTACTGTAACTAGTTGATTGACCGCGCGAGGGGGGGGAGGCCCAAACGGGACTTTTCAGCACCCCCTGGGGGCGTTGTCTGAATTGCTGGGGGCGCTCGAAATCAACACCCCTCACGCAGATCCGCGGGGTCAGGGTCCAAAAACACAAGGGATTTGCCACATGTTTGAAATTCGGTGCCACCCCTCACGCAGATCCGCGGGGTCAGGGTCCAAAAACACACGGGATTTGCCACATTTCTGAAATTCGGTGCCACCCCTCACGCAGATCCGCGGGGTCAGGGTCCAAAAACACAAGGGATTTGCCACATTTCTGAAATTCGGTGCCACCCCTCACGCAGATCCGCGGGGTCAGGGTCCAAAAACACAAGGGATTTGCAACATTTTTGAAATTCGGTGCCACCCCTCACGCAGATCCGCGGGGTCAGGGTCCAAAAACACACGGGATTTGCTACATTTTTGAAATTCGCTGCCACCCCTCACGCAGATCTGCGGGGTCAGGGTCCAAAAACACACGGGATTTGCCACATTTCTGAAATTCGGTGCCACCCCTCATGCAGATCCGCGGGGTCAGGGTCCAAAAACACATGGGATTTGCCACATTTCTGAAATTCGGTGCCACCCCTCACGCAGATCCGCGGGGTCAGGGTCCAAAAACAAGGGGATTTCTGAAATTCGGTGCCACCCCTCACGCACATCCATCGCAAGGCGTGGTAACCCAAAGTGCGAGTACTCCCTCGGCCCTTTAATCCCAAGGTGTGGTAACCAAGCTCGTAAACCATACACGTCTTACCAATCGCCCTGTGTGGTAACCCCTCTTGTGATCAGTTGGTTTTGCCGATTGCGAATCGGCCTCGCGTGAAGTTCCGATACTGC